ACTCTTGGGCAAGTCACATAGCATGCCCTCATCCCTTCTCAGCAGATCTTCAGGGATAAGATGAAAGTGTGACACTTCATCACTGTTCTAAGCATGATTTCCCAGTTCTCCCTAGTTCCTACTGGTGCCTGGCATTTTAATGGTTGCTCAATAAATGTTTGTTCTCAATAAACAATAATGCAACACAGAGTTATTGAGCACCTGCTAAATGTCAGAATGGACAACAGACACTAAGACCACTCAGAGGAGAAGATACCTCATCCCTCCCCTCAGAGAATTTGCAGAGATGAGGATTTTAGGTTTCCTTCTCTCTTGAGATTCAGTCACTGGACTAAGTACCTCTCATGCTGGGAAGAATGTGATAAGGGCTTTGTTGTGAAAATAAGATTTCCATGGGGGTTTACAAGTCACAATCCAAGCCAAGCCATCTTGGTCAGGGGCTTTGGACTGAGGTTGGTGCTGAGGAACATGTGAGGAGTCCAAAATGTTCTTCAGCCAGCTGGCCCTGGCCAGCCTCTTCCCCTCCCCCTCCTCTTGCCCTATGCCAGGAGAGCAGACTATTTTTAGTAGGACATGGGCAAAAGCAGCTGGCCTCTGGGGTCTAGTTACTCCTTGAAGTGAAGTGGGGAGGGGGATGTCAGAAGAAATGACAGCCCCAGATCGGGACTCCTCTCTGGGCAGCTGTGTTCTCTCTAACTCTGCTCTGTTATCCACCATCTCTTCCCCTCATCCTCAGGACTCTTGAACACTGCACCTGAGCTGGCTTCAGGTGCTGCAGGCCTCCCATCTTCTAGGGAGCTTTGCTTCTCTCACTAACAGGAAATTTGGCCAGCCTTAGAAAACCCACGCTGCCATTGGCTTGCCCTCTAGCCCTCAGGGTCCCCCATCTCTCCTATGAAGGAGAACAGCAAAGACCTACCACCACCACCACCACCTCACAGCTCCATGACAGCATAGTTACAAGTCTCAAGGTAACCAGGGAGTCACAGGCCTGGACATCCTAGCACTCATGATCCAAGAGAAGTCCTGACCTTTCCCCAGGATTTCTCTAAGAGACCTGGGTTCCAGGAACCCTCATTTTCCACCTCCAGACATCCAAGTTACTGCCCACAGAGTACCCAGATAGGCCCTGAATGAGGCCCAGAAGTGCTCCTACAAGCAAGACAATGAAGCCCCTTCTTGTCCTTACCATGGTTGCAGGTCACTGGGACTCCTCTGCTATGAGTTGTCTTCTCTGCACTCCACCACCCAAAGATGCTGTGGCCCACTCCAGCCCCCAGGATTTGTAGGAGCACCCTCTCCTCCCACCTCCTCACTCCCCAGGACTGGATACCCTGCCCAATCAGATTCTGGGGTCAGGAGGCCCCACCCCTCACAGAGTCCTAGCCCATTACCTAATTTAGCCAAGGGCCCTTGCAGGGAAATTTAAGCCTCGAGCAGGTGGCAGGCCTTGACGTCCTAGATTCTCATGATGAGGGCCCGCCCTGCTCCACCACCTTAGAGAGCACCCCCCCCTCCTTAGGATGCACACTTGCTCCAAGATGGGTGAGAACGATCAGAATAGCATGGTGGAATGAGAAGCGCACAAGCCTCGAAGTCCAAAATTCAAGATTCAGTCCTGCTTCTGCAAGCAGGGTGACCTTGGGCAGGTAGTGATATGGCTCTGAGCCTGCATTCTTTATCTGTGAGATGGAGAGAGTCACAACGGACCTCACAGAGAGACCAAATAAATAGGAGTCCAGGTGTAAGTCACCCAGTTTGCGCCAAGTTCATGAGGTTGGTGCTTGGCAAGTAGAGCGCTCCTGTCTTTGAACCATGGTAAAAGTAGTAGGGGACAGAACAGGGGAAGTGATAGCTTGGCTAGTTTATTGAACTTTTACAACATGACGAGCTTTTTTTATTATTATTTATTTATTTTTGTGGTACTGGGGTTTGAATTTAGGGCTTCGAGTTTGCTAGGCAGGCACTCTCCCGCTTGAGCCACACCTTCAGCCCTGTGCTAAGCATTTTAATCACATGATCTCATGTAGGACTCACCCTATGAGGTGGCAAATATTATTATCCCCATCTGATGGGAGGGCTTTGAAAACCACAAAGGTCTATAGGAATGCTGATGATTCTTTTTTTTCAAATTAATTTATTTTTGAGACAGTGTCTCCCTATGTTACCCATGCCAGCCTCAAACTCCAGGACTCAAGCAATCAAACTTCTACCACTCAACCTGGCTTTTGACAATTCTTAAAAGTTTTGGATCTGGTGGCATGGCTCAAAAGTTAGAGCACCTGTCTAGCAAGCATGAGGCTCTGAGTTCAAACACCAGCAAGGCCAGAAAATAAAAAATATTATTAACTAGGGAGAAGTTGGGACATGTAGTCCTTGGGAGACCCATCTAGAAGGAGAAGTGTACAGAGGGATTGAGAAGAGTGGGCTGTGCATTTGGAGGAGGAGAAATAAGGGTGGGAAACAAAAAATTCTTCTCTCAAGTTACCTTTCTCCAGAGAAAGGGTGTTTGGGATTCAGTGGAGACAGAAGGGGGAGGGAGAAGGTCCTCTAAGTGTTAAAGGGGTAGCTGGCCCCTTCCTAGAGCTCAGTGAAGAAATCCAGAGTTGCTCAGCTAGTTCTCTGGAGAGCAAAGATCTAGTTCAAAGGGAGCCTGCCCTGAGAATTCACCGGATCCGGGTTGGGCAGCGGAGAGTAGGCTAGGCTAATGGATAGTGGCTAAGTCAACAGAAAGAGCACTGAGACAACTGATAGCGGGTCTGGGGCCAGTAAAGTGCTGGACACCAAGGAAGGCAGATGGACAGTGACAACTGGGCTGCCTCCTTCCCCTATATATAGACATTCCCAAGGAAAGTTCAGTGGAGCTGGGCCAGGCTAAATAAGGCCTCCCCTGGCCAGACAGAGGGCCAAAGAGTGATATTCAGGGTAGGCCAATTTGGGCAACAAATACTGAAACCACTTGGTCCCTCTGGACTAGAAAATATGGAACCCTCAGCAATCACCATTCATTAATTTGTTCCTGTGTTTACTCAGGGAAATAGATAAGGACCAAACAATTCAGTGTGCCCCAGCAAGGTTCAACTGCCCTTCCAGTCTCATTCCTCCTCTCTTCCTTCACCTTGTATGCTGCTCTGCTCTGATCAGGCTTAAATATTTAAATACTGCCCCTAACACCACCCCTTAGGAGCCCCCAGGCCTTTACACATCCTGTTTTCTTTTATCTGCCAGAAACTCCTAGCTTCCCTCTCTTCACCTGCCTGCTTCCCTGTCATCTTTCTCAGCTTTAATGTCATTTCTTCTGATACCCCTTGTCCCCTACACCAGGCTAGAGGGTCCAAGGCATTCTCCCGTAGTTTTCCTCAATCGCAGCACTGAGCATGCCTTGTGATCTCGACTTGTTCTGAGTTGCACAGTCCAGAGGCAGTTTCTTGTTCATCAAACTGGCACTTAGCAAGTATCTAATAAATACTGCATTTTGTTCAGTAGAAGGAGGAACTTCCTAACAGTCACAATAATGGCAACAGAGCTGCCTGGTCACTGAGCGTATACAAAAGGAGACAGACGACCATCTCTTAGGGAGGAATGCCCATGCACTCTAAGAGTGGAGGAGAATACAAGACATCAAGAGAGCTCCTGCAGGGAGCTGGGGCTCACACCTGTAATCCTAGCTACACAGGAGGCAGAGATCAAGAGGATTGCAGTTCAAGGTCAGCCCAGGCAAATATTTCTCAAGACCCTACTTGGAAATACCCAACACAAAAAAGGGCTGATGGAGTGGCTCAAGTGGTAAAGTGCCTGCCTAGCAAGTGTCAGGCCCTGAATTAAAAAAAATAAAAGCTCCTAATTTTAACCCTGTTTACATAATAAAGCACAAACCCTTTCCCCTCACTAAACCTTAGTTTATCCATCTGTAAAATGGAAGTAATGAACCAGATTTTTGTCATTGTTTAGAACAGGGTCTCGCTATGTACCTCCAGCTGGCCTTGAACTTGCAATCCTCCTGCCACTGCCACCACCACCCAGTGCTAAGTCAGTGTCAACACACCTGCTTGATTGGCCAGATTTCTGAGAGACATTCTGCTCTGATAGCTTTGTTTCATAAATATCAATTTTGCATCCAAACTTGTGAGGCATATGCCAAAGGACAAGTTAGGATTCAGCCACTGGTTGGTGAATGAATGAAGTGTGTCATTTTGTGCTGACACCCTACCTGTAAACCAAATGAAGAGTAATTAGAGCTCTGAAATTACAGGCTTGAACTTAAATCCAAGCTCCCCTTTTTCCAGATGTGGATCTTGGGAAATCCAGTTTGTCTCAGTCTCTTCATCTTGAAAGTGGACTGCCTCTTTCCCAGAGTGTTGAGGTGAGATGCCACAGAGCACAAAGTGCCTAGAATAGGATGTACAGCACACTGGAACCTTCTGCTCCTATGGAGGCCCGGGAGGGTATTTTCCATTGAAGAACATTCCCCCATCCTTCCCTTCTTCACCATTCAAAGAGAGCAAGAGCTACTTTCAGAAAGATGCTATTTATTTCATCGTATAAGTAGCAGAATCTGCCCTGCTAGAACTGATACCTAGGCCTTCAGACAGAAAGTGGCTATAGTGTTGACCTACCGGGTTAAACCGCAGAGCTCCAGAGGAACTAATGAGATTATCCAGCCCGTGGAACTTAGGGGACCTGGGGTTCAAGATCCCTTACGACCTTAGGCAAGTAACTCAGACTCTCAGGGACTCAGTTTCCCTGTTTGCCTACATCCCATGTGTGAGGCTCAAATGAGACTAAAGTCTGTAAACACTAAAAACAAAAATGATTACGTAACTGACAACTTCCTCAGCCCCTCTTCTGTTAGGCACTGGCAAGAGCTGAAATGAGTATTATTTTCCTATTTTACATGAGAAATCCTAGGCTCAGCTGTCTTCTCTTGGCTTCAATTTTCTCCTCGCAGAATTATTGTAGAGTTGAAGGGTGCTGGAAGGAAACTGGGGTGTTAGATTGGGGCCGTCTCGGATCTCCCGGAGCGGTGGGAGGGTTCGAGGAGGGTGCGCACCTGGCAAGATCAGAGCCCGGCTCCTCGGGAGGCCTGGCTCCCTCAGGCGACTCCGCATTCCCAGGTCCCTCCCGGAGCGCGGAGCCCGGGATTCTGGGCTGCTCCGAGGGCGGGCGGGGCCAGGGGCGGGGCGGCGGCAGGAAGCGGCCGGAGCGGCGCTCAGGACGGCCTGGGCCCCCGGCCTCGCTCGGTAAGCTGCGGGAGATTGCGCCGGGACCCCCGGGGCGGCGCGCCCCTGCGAGCACCCCGGGCGCTGGCGGTGAAGGCGCACGAGGGGGCGGAGGAGCCCGAGGAGGGTTCCGGGCCGCTCCGGGGAAGATCGCGGCCCTAGGCGGCCTTGGTGGGGGGAGCCGCACCCGCTGGGCCCCCGCGGGTCATCTGGGAGCGGGGGAGGGGTCGTCCCCGGGCAGGGGCGGGGCCTCCGCTGCGCCCCTCCTACTCGGGTCTAGGCCACGCCCCTGTCTCCGGCCGGCAGGCGGGCGGGGGTCCTCCTCCAGACCCCCGCCCAGGGCCTAGCGTCGCGCGCTCCACCCAGGGTGCCATGGCCTCTCGGCTCCTGCACCGACTGCGGCACGCTCTGGCCAGCGATGGCCCCGGGGAGGCGGCGGCCGCGGGCCCCGAGGCCGAGCAGTTCCCTGAGAGCTCCGAGCTGGAGGACGACGACGCCGAAGGCCTGTCCTCCCGCCTCAGCGGCACCCTCAGCTTCACCAGCGCTGAGGACGACGACGACGACGAAGACGACGAGGACGACGAGGAGGCCGGCCCTGACTCGCTGCCCCCCAGGGACGCGGCATCAGGAGAAGACGCAGGCGAGTGCGGGAGGACGGAGACGGGACCCTGGAGCTGGTTAGGCCTCCTCCCGGCCGCATTCCGAGAGCATCCTGGGCGCTCTGAGTTGACCTAGCTGAAACTCACACTTCTTTAAGTGCCTCCAGCCACCTCTTGACCTTGAGACAGTCCTAACACCCCTCTGAGCCAAGTTTTCCCTTATGTCAAATGGGAGAGGTCACTTGATCTTAGGGTTTTTGCGAGTACGAAATGCACCAGAGCCAGGTATACGAATGGTAATGACGTGCTAGAGATACTTTCGTGGTGGAGCTATTTAGCACCTAGTATCTGCCAGGCACGGTGTTTGGTACCTAGTGCCCCTCTGACCCTCAGTTCCCTTTTCTGTAAAGTGGGGATAAGGCATACCTCACTCAGATGAGTGAGGTCATGACATTGACCCTGGGCTGGGAGCCTCTTGATATGACTTAATCATGTGCTTATCCAGAACGGAGCCCCCCACCCGATGGGCAGCGGGGCAGTCAACTCCTGGCCCGGCAGCTGCAGGATTTCTGGAAGAAGTCACGGAACACCCTGGTACCCCAGCGGCTGCTCTTTGAGGTGACCAGCGCCAATGTTGTCAAGGACCCTCCCTCCAAGTACGTGGTGAGTGAGGTTCTAGGAACCCCTGGACTGTGAGTCTACAAGTCTGCATGGGAGTAAGATGCCAGCTTCCTGGGGATTCTGGTTATATAGTTATAAATGGCTGCCCTAGTTCACAGATGGGGAAACTGAGGCCAGAAAGAGGATGTAACTTGAGCAAGTGTCTGTGAGACTGCATAAAATGGAGATTAAGGAGATGCCTTTTTTTTTTTTTTGTCTTTTCTTTTTTGGTGCTGGGATCGAACCCAGGGCCTTAAGCATGCTAGGCAAGCGCTGTACCACCGAGCTACATCCCAGCCCAAGGAGCTACCTTAATGTGTGCATGCTGTCCCCTCCCTCTGTGATTTTGCAAATTGTAGCAAGAGACAGACTTAAAACGCAGCTGCACTGGTTAGTGGAAGGAAGTGCGCTTTGGACCCAGGTCAGGCTTGATCCACATCCCACCTATTATCAGTTGTGGCACCTTGGGGAAGCGATGAACTTTGATGACCTGTTTCCTTATCTGAGCAGTGGGGATAATGCAGGTAATGCAGAGGATTACAGCAGGAGTGAAGTGAAACCATGCCTTGTGCCTGGCATTATGGTAGCTATACAGGTTCAGCAGCCCTAATCTGAAAGTCTGAATTGCTCCAAAATCCAAAACTTTTTGAGTATTGACATGATGTCACAAGTGGAAAATTCCACACCTAATCTGATCTGATTGGTGGCAGTCAGTAGTATAGGCTCACTGAAAATACTGTATAAGACTAGGCTGGGTATATTTCAGTGAAGGAGTGCTTACTTAGTGCTCAAGGTCCTGGGTTAGATGACCAAAGTAACAGACTTACAGATACACACATAGACTGTATAAAACTAACTTTAGGCTATGTGTATAAGGTATATAAGAAATATAAGTGAATTTTGTGTTTAGACGTGGGTCCATTCCTCAAGATAGCTCATTATATATTCAAAGGTTACAAAATCCAAAATATCTGAAACCTTCTGGTCCCAAGCAGTTTGGATAGAGGATACTGACTCTGTGTTACTATTATTTAATTTTGGATTGGAAATGTCAAACATCTACAGCCTGCTGTAACTTCCTCATAACCTCGGTAATCAGTTCTCCAGCAGCTCCCTATAGGAAATAATCCTGTCCTAAGGGCTAGACTTAGGGGACTGTAGGGATGGGGGTGAAGAGCAGTGTGAGGGAGGGCCTTGGAGTCCCTGTTGTCCTTGCTGTGGAGGGGAGAACTGGCACAGACAGTGAGGCCTACCAGGTCCTGCTCCTTGCCAGACCTGAAAGTCAGCTAATCTGGCTGGTCCTGGCAGTGTCAGCTCCCTGCTTCTCCCTCCTAGCCTCTTCACACCCTCCTCTACCTCTGACTAAGCACAAAGGGGCCTGGAGCCCTTTCCACATTTGGGCCTCTCCACCCCTCTCTGTTGCTGTTAGTAACAATGCTACACCCATGGGTGACTGCTCCAATTTGAGCAGGGACTGACTGATGAGCCAGGCTTTTTTGTGTGTGCTGGGGATCAAAACCAGATCCTCATGCATGTTCTACCACTGAGCTACACCCCAGCCTCTGATAATCCAATCATAAGTGGCAAAGGTCCCAGAGTTCTGGAGTGGGCAAAAGGTCACACACAGAAAATGACACTAAGCATCAGTCATCCAGGATCAGCTCAGAGGTAAAAAGAAACTGAGGTGACCCAGAGGGGGAGGGAATGACAACGAAGAGCAAGATGGCCAAGTATGCCCTGACCTGTCTAGAGAAGCAAGGCACCTCTTCTGTCCAGTGGGCACCCTCATCTCTGTAAATCACCTCCTGGGAGTAGTTTCAGATTTCACAGATTTCACAGTCTTTGTGTCCCTTATCCCTCTTTGAGGCTGCTTCCTCAGCTGGCTAACAGAGCTAAGGACACCTTCCTTGCAGTGCTGCTATAATGAGTAAATGAACTCATAGATGGATGAGTGCTTGGTGCAGTACAAGGTAAGTACTCAGCTAATGGACTACAATCATTGTTACCTGTCTTGGTGGGATGTTACAAGGATCAGATGAAATAATGAATTTACTATCTTTACAAGCCAAGCCTTGTGGTATAGGCCTATAATCCCAGCACTTGGGAGGCTGAAGTACAAGGATCAAGAGTTCAAGGCCAGCCTGGGCTATATCAAAACACGGCCTTTAAAAAACAAGAGGATTAAAAAAAAAAAAAAAATGGGGCTGGTGGAATGGCTCAAGTGGTAGAGCACCTGCCCCGCAAGCATGAGGCCCTGAGTTCAAACTCCAGTAGCACCAAAAAAAAAATGCCAAAAAAATTAAAAATAAAAAGCTAGCTACATAGGGGTTATTATAGACCAGTGCTTCCTAAAGTATGTCCTGCAGACAGTTGCTTCCCTGGGATATATTAATAACTATTCCAAAAAAAAAAAGAAAAAGCTAGTATGTCTTGAGAATACAGAGCTGAATGACAATAAAATAGGTTTCTTTAAAATGTACATTGTGAATCTTCAGAAAGAGTAAGCAAACCTAGCTGACCAGGAGTGGCTAGAATATTGGCAGTTCCACAGAACCAAACTTGGGAAAATCTGGGTTTGGCGGCATCTCTTTAACATATGACACCTGCCAACTCCCATTTTAAACCTGTTGGCCCAGCATTAATCCTCATTAATCCGTATGAGGTTCTCAGACCTGGAGAGAAGCTTATCTAGTTCAGTACTTCCCAAACACAGTCATTCCAGTAGCACCTTGACATTTCTTGTCCTATCTAAAATGTGAGTAGTGCTGGGTGCGATAGTGTATGCTTGTAATTCCTACACTTGGGAGGCTGAGGCAGGAAGATCATGTGTTCAATCCAGCCTTGGCTACATAGCAAGACCTGTTTCAAAATTAATTAATTAAAAGTTTAAAAGCCAACTTTATACTGCTGCTATATGTGGAAAGCCTACCATAATGAGAAGCTAACCATAAAAGTAAAAATATGGTGCTGGTGACATAGCTTAGTGGTAGTGGGCCTAGCATGACCCTGTCTTCCATTCCCAGCACCACAAAAAAAAAAAAAGTGAAAATTAAACAATCACTAAATCCTGCCTAGATGCTATGGCCAGAGGCCCTGGCCTGAGATTCACCTTCTAAAACTGGAGACGAAAAGTGTTAGAGAGGTGCTTTTATAAAACCAAACTGAGAACTTCTCAAATTGTAGTCAGAAAGATTAAAAAAGAAGGCAGGCACAGTGGCCACCTGCCTGTGTCCCAGCTATCCAGGAGGCTGTGGCAGGATCACCTTAGCTGAGGAGTTCCAGGCCAGCCTGGGCAGCACAGGGAGAGCCAGTCTTTAAAAAAAAAAAAAATAGAATCACCTCTTGTCTCTGATGCAGTACACTCTAGAGTGTGCCACCTAAAAACCTCCAGTACCAACAGTTGTACTTGTCGCATACTTGAGTAAACAATGACCTGAGCCAACACCATGACTGAGGCAGAATCAGAGGTGACTGCTTACAGGGAGGGAGGCTGACCTGGAGTTAGAACTTGAGTCCTGCTCCAGTGGACTCACAGTTACTGCTATTGGGTCTCTCAGCAGACCTGTCCTCTCCTCTGGTTTGGAGTAACCTTGCCAGCAATTGGGTGGGTGTGGTGGGGGGGTGGAGTAATGAGTCCAGAGTGGAGCACAGCACCAGGTTGACCCTCAAATTAACTCAGAGGCCCAAGACACTGGTCAGAGTTTCAGCTCAACCTGGTTTTCCCAAAGGGCAGTCAGAAGAACTAACTGCCCTGTGGGAAGGGAGAACTTCCCAAAAGGGCCTAAAGGGGAAGCAGTCCCAGGCACTGAAGCTCATTTCTGTCTTTCTTTCCCCGTGCTGCCTTGGGCCTGGGTCATTTCAGACGAGCCTCAGGTAAGACGGGAGTGGGCTCTCTGGCCACTGCTCCAGCAGCTCCTACCCTCCTGGGCCCAGTTCTTGGGGAAGGGAAGCAGAACTGGGAATGGGAGGAGGGCAGGGAAGGAAGGGGCCCATAGACAGTTTGCACCTGTCCTAACACCCACTCTCCTTGCAGCTCTACACCCTCGCCGTGATGGGCCCAGGGCCGCCAGATCGCCAGCCAGCCCAGATCTCTCGCCGCTACTCAGACTTTGAGCGGCTGCACCGAAACCTGCAGCGGCAGTTCCGGGGCCCCATGGCTGCCATCGCCTTCCCCCGTAAACGCCTGCGCCGGAATTTTACCGCAGAGACCATTGCCCGTCGAAGCCGGGCTTTTGAGCAGTTTTTGAGCCACCTGCAGGCAGTGCCCGAACTACGCCATGCCCCAGACCTGCAGGACTTCTTTTTGCTGCCAGAGCTGCGGCGGGCGCAGAGCCTCACCTGTACTGGCCTCTATCGTGAGGCCCTGGCACTTTGGGCCAATGCCTGGCAGCTGCAGGCCCAGCTGGGCACCCACTCTGGCCCAGACCGACCCCTGCTGACTCTAGCTGGGCTGGCTGTGTGCCACCAGGAGCTGGAGGACCCTGGAGAGGCTCGGGCATGCTGTGAGAAAGCCCTTCAGCTGCTGGGAGACAAGAGACTCCATCCTTTCCTGGCACCTTTTCTAGAGGCTCATATCCGGCTCTCCTGGCGCCTGGGCCTGGATAAACGCCAATCAGAGGCGCAGCTCCAGGCTTTACAGGAGGCAGGCCTCACCCCCACACCACCCCCCAGCCTCAAGGAATTGCTCATTAAGGAGGTGTTGGACTAACCCTTGTCTAGTCTTCACTGCAGGGAGAGGGGGTGCCCCAGAATCAAAGAGGGTGGCACTGGTGAAGACATGAGGGCTTCAGGGGCTGCTGGGAGCCCTTAGAAGTTCCACAAAGAATTTGCAACAGAGAAGGAAATTTTCTTCTTTTGAGCTGGGCTCAGGAGGAGCTTTAGCTGGGGTTGCCCCAGCATGGTACAAGGAGGAAGTCTGACACAGCTTCTCTAGCCAGAGCCTTGCAACCTAGGTTAGGATCAATGTTTCCTTCCCTTTAGGCCTCTAATCCAGAAAGGCAGCAGGCTGCAGGGCTGGGGACTGCTGCAGGAGTGTTGAAGTTGAGGGATGGCTGCAGTTCTGACCCAGGGGAATTAAAGGTCAGCCACTTCTATAGTATCAGTCCTTTCATTGGATGAGAAGTGGAAGGCCCAACCCTCAACTGTAACTCCTGCCTCAGGAATGGTGGTAGAAGGAAGGTCCTTGAAGCTCCAGGCCAAGCTGGTACCTCTGGCTACAGCTTGCTGTCTGAGATACAGGGCTTTACTCGGATCACACCCTCCTGGGCACAGGACACAGCCAGGACCCCATCTCGACGCCACAGTCGCCCTTGGACCATCCCTCGAGAGCCACCTGTGGGAGAGAAGGATAAGAATGATTTTCGCTGCTTCAGCGCAGCCAGATGTGCTTCCTGCAAAAGGTCTGGCACAGGGCACACTGAACGTGACCACTCCAAAGTATTAAGTGCCCTTTATAAGCCTGTTACAGATAGTCACTGCTGGGGGGCGGGGGAGATACTCCTCCCGTGGGAACCTCAGTTGACAGTTTAAATGTGCTTTCACACATCTGCGCACTTCCCCAAACAGATCTGAGGGAGGAGCTGTGAGAAGGTCTCCAAGAGCTTGGCCAAGGAGACTGCTGTGCCTCATCAGTTCCTTTTATAATAAGCTAAGCCATGTCCTCTAGGCTGGTAATTCATGAAAACTGCCACCACCAAGAGAAAGGAGCTCAGGAAAGGACCTGAGACCATGAAGTCTAGTCTTCCCTCCCTCTCCACCTGGAGGCTCTTTCTCCCTTGCTGGCTTTGGCCTGAGTTTGACGTTCATAAAAATAATTGCTGGTTTTCCTTGCACATAGCAGAGCTCACTTAGTTCTGACAGTAGCCAAGCGAGGTTGGCTTCATTTGTTGTCACAAATGACACTAAAATCCAAAGAGGCTCAGGAGCTTGGCCCCAAAGATCAGGCCAAACCCAGTCCCAGGGGTCCTAATCTTGTATTGTGACGCTGTTGGTATCTGAGTATAACATAAAGAGTTCTTCCAAGTTTTGTCCCTGTTTTATAAAGCAAAGCTTTTATTCATTTGAAATTATTTCCTTAGAAAGGAAGGTAGACACTGATGAGTGAGTCTGGGCTTCTTTCTGTCCCTGACAAGCAGTGAGGCCCTTAGAGACTCTTGAGTGCTCTGACCCCAAGCATGTTAATCAGCAGAATCACTTAGCAAGCTTCTTAAAAATACAGTTCCCTGGACCTTGTCCAAGACCGGCTGAGTTAGAATCTTGGAGGTGGCATCCAAATCTGTTTTGAAAAAGCTCCCTCACATGGCAGTCTGATGGGTTACTAGGTTTAGATTCTGCTGCTTTAATATAACCCTTTGTGTTTAGATGGGGAAATAGGCTCAGGGGGAGACAGGACTTGCTCAAGTTCATATAGAGAATCTGAAGTGGTTTGGGAACTATAACTGGGTCTCTGAGATAAAATGAATCATATTTCTGGCATGTTACAGAAAGTGAGTGGAACAGGTGTCCTGCTCTTGAGCCTTACTCTGTTGTTTTAAAGAGGAGAATGTCAAAGGCTGGAGAAGTAGAAGAAAGAAAAAGTGACCTATACAGTGCTCCCAGGAAGTAGAAGGAGACAGCATCACCAAGGAAATCAGGTCCCTGCCACCCCAAGGCCAGTGTGCCACATGGTCCCACACTCACCGGTCCAGGGACTGTCGCACTCATACAGCATCCAGTGGTCAGCTCGGAAGGGGGCATGGAACCACATAGAGTGGTCTAGTGAGGCCATGAATTTCACCTCATACTTCCAATGGTGGGGCAGCATAGCTGTGCCCAGGAAGGCATAATCGGAGATATAAGCGGCCACACAGCAATGCATCTTGATGTCTCCTTCCCCTGCAACAGGTCCCAGCCCCATGAATCTTAGGCTCCTAGGCTTTACAGCTCAGGACCTGCAGGGAGGTGGGGGTGAAAGGGACTGCCGTGCACAAATGTGCAAACTAGTCATTGCACAAGGGCACCTGGCCCATGGTTGTGTGTATGTAGAGATGAAGGAGGTGGGGACTGGGGAGGGTGGGGGTGAATGAGAACTAAAATCCAGTCTTCCCAAGTCTCTCCAGCTAGTCCTAGAAGTTGCCTCCTCCAATTTGCATAAAGGTGCCTTATGGTTAGCACCAAACCTGAATAAGAACCCCAGCACGGTGCTTTGTCTTCCCCAGAATGGTCCAACATTGGAATTAGAGTCACCTTCCCATGCAGAGGGCTGAAGGCTCTCATGAGAAGCTGAGCCGACTTTCTAATGCTGCAGATTAGGAAACAGGCCTAGAGAGGGGAAGTAGCATTCCCAAGGCCACAGAGGGCAAATGAGTGGTGGGCCTAGACCTCTGGAGAGTGTTTTCCTCTAATCCGTGGGTCCTCTTACCAATATAGCCCCGAGCTCGCACCCAGAACATCTGTTTGGGTTCCATTCTCTGCAGCTGGCCCACAGTGGGTGGGTTCACCAGCTTAACCTCAATGGGCACATCTTGGGCAGCAATTCGGTTCAGCCCCACTCGGTACTTCTCTTTGAGGTCAGGGTCACTGAAAGTAAAGGGGAAAGGAACAGGAAGACTCAAGGAGAGGGGAGCCTCTCATCTGTGCTGCCTCTTTGGACCGCCCCCCCTCATTCTTCCTCAATGACTTCTGACTAATCCCCAAAGCTTCCTTCTTTATGTGGCAGGCACTACTTCAGCCATGTAGCCTTGTGGGAATTAGTCATCTCAGCCTATTTTCCCATCCACAAAATGTAAATACTAATAATAATCTATGTCATAGGAACACTGTGGAAAAGGTGAGATAATGCTTATAAAATCAACACATCCCAGCAGCAAGCCATATAATATTCTCCGCTCCAATTACTGCATGTACCACGTAACTCACACATCACAGCAGCCTTGTGAGTCAGGTACTGTTACCACCCTGCTTGATAAATGAAATAACCACACAGATAGCATATTCAGAGGGGGAATCCAGGTAGCTTGCTCAGAGGGTGGAGGAGGCAGGATTTGGGCTCAAGGAGTCTGGTCCTACAGTTAGTCCCACACCTAACTACTTCATTATTCTTATAGTTAAGAAACAGGCTGCCTGACCTGCCTAACCCCGAGCAGCAGGGAACACTATCTTGAGGACATGAAGGGAGGCATTTCAAGTGAAGACCCTTCAACCCAGAAACAACCACCCTTAGTGCTCTTCATAGGTTTTGCCATTTTCACCCCATCCTCCAGGTGCTGTCCAGTAGAACCTTTTGTGATGGTGGAATGTTTATCTGTGCAGTTCACTAGGGTAGTGACTAGCCACGTGTGACTATTGAGTGCCTGAAGTGTGGCTAATGTAACTGAGGAACAGATTGTTCCTTCTATTTCATTTTAATTAATTTAGTATAATGAACAGCACAGCTCTAAATTCAGAGTCCTATAACAACGCCTTCCTTTCACTCAGCAAACATTTGTTGAGTTGCAGCCACACACCAGGTCTGTGCTTATTGTATAATAAATCGTATAATTACAATTTATAGAGCAGACTAATTGCCTTATACTTCTTATTTAATCCTCACAGCAGCCTTATGAGGTAGGAGTTATGAATAGCTCCATTTTATAACTGAGAGTATGAACTCAGAGTGGGCAAGCAACTTGCCCAAACTCACACAGATGGTAGGGACAGTCAAGATTTGAATTCTGCCCACTTAGGCTCCTGAATCCGTGTCCATCCCACACACCTTGCTGTTGCCCAAGTGTCCCACAGGATAGAGAACCTGTCCCTATGATATACCTGGGAAGTAGGCAGGGCAGAATGACTATTCTTATTTTTTTTAGATAAAGAAAGTAGGGTCTTGAGAGACTGGTTGGTTGGGCAAAGCCTCGTAACGGGTAAGCACTAAGAGATGCACAGCCCGGGCCATGTGTCTGGATTGTCTGGACCCAGAGTTCTTTGCCATACACCAGCATTTTTCAAACCTTATTGCCTGTGATCTCAATAAGGTACTTTGAGTTAGCCAGGTGCCAGTGGCTCACGCCTGTAATCCTAGCTACTCAGGAGACAGAGAGCAGGAGGATTAAGGTTCAAAGCCAGCCTGGGCAAATAGTTCCTGAGACCCTATCTTGAAAAAAACCATCACAAAAAAAAGGAAGGTGAAGATGGCTCAAGGTGTAGGCCTTGAGTTCAAACCCCAGTACTGCAAAAAAAAAATTAAATAAATAAATAAAAGCTATTTTAGGTTGGAGGTATGGCTTAAGTGGTAAAGCACCTGCCTAGCAAGCCAAAGCTCTGAGTTCAAACTCCACTACCACCAAAAACAACAAAATATATATATATATATTTTTTTTTTACCAAGTGACAGTCAAAATATTTGACATGCCCTAAGGTAGTGACCAGTCAGTGGGCCATGACTCAGCAGCAAGGTTGTAGAGGACACTCAGCCTCACCAAGCATTAATTCCAAAACTGCTGGATCTTGGGCCTAAAGGGGAGGGGGCTTACTCAGGGGACTGGGGAAGCAGCTATTTACCAAATGGTTACATAATAGTTCAACATATTCACACCCAATAAAGCTATAACCCTGCCTGCACTGGCTAAATAGAAGGTCAGCATTTAAGGTAGTGACCCAACACACACAGATGCACACCTGCTCACACAAATCAGAAACACAACTGAAACTCAACTTTCACAGGATTCTTACCTTCATTACATACAGTATCTTCTTTTTCACTTGTGTGTATATATATATATATATATATATATATGTATATATACAAATTATATCAAATTTTTTTTATTGTGCAGTGGATTCAACCCAGGGCCTTGTGTACGCTTAGCACGTGGTCTACCACTGAGTCACACCTCCAGTTCATTTTGCTCTGGTTATTTGATCTCAGCGGGTACCTTCTGGGAGAACTATTTGCCTAAGCTTCTCTAACCATGATCCTCCCAATCTCAGCCTCCAAAGTAGTTAGGATTACAGGTGTGAGCCACTAGTGTCTGTTTTTAATGCATGGCCAAAGTGCACTAAGGGCCTCTGTGACTTACTAACGGGCAACTAGAATCTGGAAACACTGCCCTGGAGCCTGCAGGTCTCTTACCTTAAATACTTGTCAATAAGGGTGTCATGGTCCAGCAGCTCTTCTGGTGGGGGCGCAGCAGGCATGGAGAACTGGTGCATCACGGGGCTGGGCTGGGTCTGTTGGAAGGAGGCCTGGAAGATGAAGATGGGTTGACCATGCTGTATGGCCTTCACAGAGCGCACTGAGAAGCTTGCTCCTGTTCGTGTCCGCTCCACCTGGTACAGCACTGGCACCTTTGGGTCCCCTGGAGTGGGCACAAGGGAAATGGTGAATAAGTCCACAGGTCCCTGTCGTCCTCACAATGGCCAGATAGGCACCTCTGTTCTGCTCATCCATTCCATTTCTTCTCGGTAGCTGTTGACCCAGGCTTGCTAAAACTCAGGTACTATGTGGATACAGAGCGAACACCAGACCTTGTGATCAGGCTGTTCCCAGTGCAGGAGCACAGAGCAGCAAGGATGTTAACAGATTCCCTACACTCAAATCCTGGCTCTACCAGTAGTCAGCTGTGTGTCCCTGGGAAAGTCCCTTAACTTCTCTGAGCAATGTACTCATTTGTAAAATGGGTGATCATCTTAAGTGTTTACCTCATAGGATCTTCGTTTTTTGGCAGGGGAGCACCGAGGTCTGAACTTAGGGTCTCACACTTATACTTACTAGGCAAGTACTCTAACCACCTGAGCCATTCCACCAGCCCTTTTTTGTGTTGGCTATTTTCCTTCTTTTTTTTTTCTTTTTGCAGTACTGGAGTTTGATCTCAGAGCCTTCACCTCAAGCCACTCCACCAGCCCTTTTGTTGTGATGGGTTTTTTCAAGATAGGGTCTCTTGATTTGCCCGGGGTTGGCTTGGAACTGAGGTCCTCCTGATCTCTGCCTCCTGAGTAGCTAGGATTACAGGTGTGAGCCACCAGCGCCCAGCTTATGTTGGGTGTTTTTTCTTTCTTTCTCTCTCTCTCTTTCTTTCTTTCCTTCTTTTTTTGTGGTACGGGGGTTTGAGTTCAGGGCCTACACCTTGAGCCACTCTACAAGACCTTTTTGTGATGGATTTTTTCCAGATAGGGTCTCGGGAACTATTTGCCAGGGCTGGCTTTGCACCGAAATCCTCCTGATCACTGCCTCCTGAGTAACTAGGTTTACAGGCGTGAGCCACTGGTATCCAGCTACCTCCCAGGATCTTAATGAAGTTTAAGTGTTATAAAGTGTTTAGAATAATATCTGGCACACAGTGAATGCTCTACAATTGTTAAATACTCTTAGTTGTTTTGTTTTCCTCTCTTTCTTTTAAGACAGACTCTCACTATGTTGCCTTGTTTCAAACTCCTGGGCTCAAGCAATCCTCCTGCCTTGGCCTCCTAAGTAGCTAAATTTTGTCTTGTTTCTTCTGTGCCTAGATCTTTTTTTTTTTTTTTGAGAATAAACAAAGGTTATTTATTCAGAGACTGTTATAGCAAGAAATTAGCCCCATCACTTGTTTCAGGAGGGGACTCAAAGGCAGGCAGGTAAGTGAGAAGCCTGATAGTGAGGAAAAGGGAAGGCTTGCCCTGATCAGAGGCTGTGGGCATAGGGAAGCTGTAGGTGGGTGAACTGGAAGGGGATTATCCTATGTAACTGGTTAGGGCTGACTTTCTCCAGTTGGTCCCAAGTAGGAAACAGGAGCAAAAATTAAGGGAGCTGTCAATGAAGTCCTGGCTGTCAAGGCTGATTGTTACATGGGTGACTGTTTTCTTTCTGGACTGGTTGCTAGAGACCAGTACTACTAGAGTAGTCTGGCTTCCAGCAAGCCTGACTTGCAGATTGCAGCTGTGCTGGTTGCTGCTCGCTGTGCATAATCGGTCTGTGTTATATGTGGCCTGGTCATTGTCTGTACATTCAGTCTCTCTCAGGAAAGGCCCTCTGCCAGCCATTTTGTCCCTGATGCAAAGAGAAATCACTTGATCTCTCTCCTGCTATGTCTGTGCTCCAATGTAGAGGGGGAGGCACTCACCTGGAGTTGGAGAACATCAGCCATCAGGAAGGATTTTTAGGGAAAAAGAGCTACTCTGGTATTCCTCAAGTCCCTCTCTTTCTCTGAATTAGGCTCACCTTGGGGAATCCTGACACCTGGGCCATAAGACATCTTAAGGATGATTTTCAACTTTATTATGAAAGAAGCAAGTCTAGAAGTGTCGCCTGCTCTACCCCAATCCAAACGCTGACCATAGCAAGCCCTGGGGCTCAGCAGCAGCACCTACACCACTATCTGAAGCCTGGCTGGTTTGCTTAGCTGAGTGAAATTGGGCATTGCCATAAGGGGCGCTGTTAGCAGAATGGGAGCTTGTCAAAGGTCTCTGAGGAAGGCCTACCAAGATCCAGACACACGAGGGAGCTCCATGTGCAGTCTGATTTCAGGGGCTGGAAAGGAAGCTTCCTTTTCTTACCACTGAACTTTAAAAACCGAACAAAACCATGGCTCAGTGACAGAGCCCTTGCCTAGCAATTTGGAGGCCCTAAATTCGATCCCAATTACTTCCAAAAAACAAACAAACAAAAAACTCTAATCCAATCCTTATGCCGCAGCAAAAATGCAAATTCCCCCAGGAGGATCACAGAACTTTCAGTATTACAATTTACCCATCAGTGTCAATAAATTCCAGATCTATTCTTGGAATGTTACTCTGATGACCGAGAGTCCCTCTCAGGTCTCCTCTCCCTAATAAAGGCCTGCTGCTTATGAAGGTCACAGATTCTTTCTCAGTATCTCTCTCTTTTCAGCTTCTTCATTTTCCTTTCAGAAACCATTAGCCAATGGTTATCATGGAGTAGGTGCTCCACACAGGTATGTTTTCTCATGTTGATCTCACAATAACTGTAGAGTGGTTCTCATCCCCATTGTTCAGACAAGGATACAGATGCTTTAAAAATAGTTTTTAAAGCTGGGTGCTGGTGGCTCACACTTGTTATCCTAGTTACTTGTGAGCCAGGGAAATTGAGGCATGGGAAACAGCAGCTAGGAATTGACAAATAAGCATTATACTAATGAATAGCTTGATTAAAAACATATAGATACTCTGCTTTAAGCCTTAATACTCCCTCAGCAAACTGCAACATTTACAAAAAGAAAAAAAAGGGAAAAAGAGCAGCTCTCTCCTCTGACCTTGCCTGCTTGCCCCAAAATAATTAGTGCACTCTGAGAACTGGGCAAGGATATCTTAAAGAAAGACTCATAACCTGGGAAAGAAATCTTGGGAAAATGACTCCTCTGAGTACAAAAAATGTCTACAAAGAAAAATACTTATCTCAAGGATGGACACCTGTCCTGAAGGGACATCTGGCGGGACCCAGCCTCTGTTTAACAGGGTGTTCAAATGTCTGTCATAGTGACTCAAATTTAACTAGCCGGCCAACCTTGACGTCTCTGGGCCCAGTTGATAACAGTGTAACACCAAACGTGATAAAACAAACAAAGAGGAGCACTCTTTCCTAAAGCAAATTTGAGCCAAACCCCAACCGACTTCTTCACCATAAATACTCCTGATGTTAGAGCACTCCTTGCGCCTGTTATCAGATGTGCCCGCATCCATGTCTGGTTTGTGGACTATATTTCTATCTTTCCTTTGCCTTGCTTTACTGATAAACTTCTTGGTCTCTACCTCAATGTGTACTAAAATTCCTTTCTGCAACACCACAAACTTGGTATACAGGGGCAGGAGGAGGCCTCCTCCCTTTTGGAGACCTCCCTAGAGTGTGGGCTGTTCTGGTAACACTTGGAAGGCTGAGATCAGGAGGATCGAGGTTCAAGGCTAGCCTGGGCAAACAGTTTGTGAGACCCTCCCCCCCCATCTCCAAAATGACCTGACCAAAATGGATGGAGCTGTGGCTCAAGCAGTAGAGTGCCTTCTTTGCAAGCCTGAAGCCCTTAGTTCAAACCCCAGTCCCACCAAAAATAATAATAATAATAATACATTTTTTTGGAAGACAGTCATACACATTTGTTCACATATTCTCTATAGTTGCTTTTACCCACAGAAACTAAAGTATTTGTTATCTGGCACTTTATAGAAATGCTACTGACCACAGCTCTGGACTCTCCAGACTCTAAACTCTAATAGCAAGTCAAATGACCCTTGCACACTATTTTACCTCTGTTTAGAAAAACTAAAAACACCCAATGAGGATACCCCGGCAGGTCACTCTCCCCGAGCTCTGCCCTAGTGGCACATGGGAGCACAAGGCTCTGCCCCATGATGTACAGTTCCTTTCCACAATGCTGGAGAAAAAGCTGGGCCTTGAGTCTGCACCTGCATATTCCTATGACTTCTCAGAGTCCTCTGGGTAATGACTGGGAAGATAAACCATCCAGAAAACACTAGAAAAAAAAAAAAAAGAAAAACTAAAACCAAAATAAAAGCCCAATCTGTCTGGGTTTTAGTATAAATGTATGTTTTTGGGGGGTTGTTTTTTTTTTTTTTTTTTTTTTTTGAGGCCAGGTCTTACCATGTAGCCCAGGAATGCCTGGTGCTCTCTGAACCCAGAGAAGTTAAATAATCAGCTCAAGTCAGGCTGGCCCCAAAGTACCTGTGCTCTCAGCTTCTCTACTCTGTTGACTCTCTTCTTTTTTCTTCCTTCTTCTTTTTCAGTACTGGTGATTGAGTCCAGCGCCTCACGCATGTTAGGTAAGTGCTTACCCCTTGAGGCACACCCCAGCTCTGTTTATCTGATTTTCCAAGAAACCAGAAGTAAGAAATTGACCAAGGTTCCCAAATAAGCCAGATTCAATTGGCATGATAATAAAGTTCCCTCAACTCTATTTTTTGCAGGGGTCAGCAAATATTCCCTTATACAGAACAGGTAAGCCTGAAGTAGACTGATGTTAACCAGCAAGTTGTTTTTCCATTGCTCTGTCCTGTCCCAACTTTATAAGGAAAGCAACTTTTCTTTTTTTTCCTTTTTTGCAGTATCAGGATCCTACGTGTTCAGCAAGCACTCTACCACTAAACTATGCCTCCAGCTCCAAGGAAAGTACCTGCAAAATGACCAATCTGCCTTTTGTTCTTTGTTTCTATTTTCTTCAGCATTTCTCTGTCTTAAAAAAGCCTTCCTCTGCTTGATTAATTGGAATGCTTATTTTATTTCATGGAATGAAATGTTGCATGGTTCTAAAAATCAAAAATAAAGTCAAGTGAGATCTTTAAGCACAGCCAGGTGCTGGTGGCTCATGCCTATAATCCTAGCTACCTGGGAGGCAGAGATCAGTTTGAGGCCAACCGAGGCAATTTGTTCAAGAGATCCTATCTCAAAAAAATCCAACACAAAAAAGGGGTGGTGGAATGGCTCAAGTGGTAGAGTGCCTGCCTAGCAAGTATGAGGCCCTGAGTTCAAATCCCAATACAAAAAGATCTTTAAACCCTGGGTGTGATGATGCACACCTGTATGCCAGCACTCAAGAGACTGAGGCAGAAGATGTGGAGTTCCAGGACACCAGCTTGGTCTACATAGGGAAACCCTGTCTCAAATGGAAAAAAATCTTTAAATTAGATTGTTGTAATTTTGTCATTTGACATTACTTCATTCTGGACTAAAAATGAAATATACGTGGCTATGTTCTGAATCATGCAAACTTTAGTTGCTTACATAAATTCATCATCAAAACATATACTTCTTTTAGCTGGGCATGGTGGTGGATGTCTATAATCCCAGCACTTGGGTGAATGACGAAGGAAGATCTTGAGTTCAGGACTGGCCAGGGCCACATAGTAAAACCCTATCTCAAAAACAAACAAACAGCCTGTAATCCTTGCCACTCAGGAGGCAGAGACAATGTCTTCTTATTGTAGCTCAGGCTAGCCGCAACTTGAGAACCTCCTGCCTCAACCTTCTTAGTACTAGGATTACAGGCATAAACTATCATACCAGGTCTCAAAAAATGATAGTAACATACCAGACCCTGTACTAAATACTTTTTTTTTTGTGGTGCTGAGGTTTGAACTCAGGGCCTTCACCTTGAGCCACTCCACCACCTCTATTTTTGTGATTTTTTTTTCAAGATAGGGTCTCATGAAATATTTGTGAGATCCTCCTGATCTCTGCCTCCTGAGTAGTTACGATTACAGGCGTGAGCCACAAGCACCCGGCTCTGTACTAAAAACTTTACTAGCCAAGATTCACAGAATTTTTCATCACAGTATGAAGAGATTCAAAAGGTTCAATACCCTCGCATAGCAAAACAAAATAGCAGGGTACCTCACTAGAACAATTACAATATAAAAAGTCTAGCACTTCTGGAACTTAAACCAAAGTAAAGAAATAAACATTCACTTCCAACTATCATGAAGGTAAGAATTGGGCTGGGCCAGCATAAATAATCAAATAAATACTTTAGAGCAATGACTATCAGGGAGGAAGAAGCAAAAAAAAAGAATGGAAAGTGAGAGACATTGTGAAGGGAGCAAATAACAGAAGTGACTTTGTCTTAGATAAGGGAGATGGACAGGAAGGCACCTTTAAATAAATATCTAAGAAGACACCATGAGCAGGCTCTTCAGAATAGAAAAATAGCCAGGACGAACTGAGCAGATTCTCCTGGAATGTCCAGTTTGATAAGGACGGGGATGACCAGGTGGTCAGGTTCAGCAGGAAGTCAACTAGATGACATCCAATCACAAAGTACTTTCAAGGTAGACTAGGTGGACCTAAGTCAGTCAGAGCCCTGTATCACTCCCAGATTCCAGCTATACTACGGCTTAGCTTTTCTTAAGCCCCTCCCATTAGTGTGGGAGGTTTCTTGTCCTTTTAATAAACTTTGCACTTGCTTTACTCTCAACTCCTGGTCCAGCATATTCAATCATCAACTTTACCCCAACACCAACTCAGGATCAGCAATCCAGTATCAACATAAGAAAGTATAAAAAAGTAGCCAGGTGCTGGTGGCTGCCGCCTGTAATCTTAGCTACTTAGGAGGTAGAGATCAGCAGGATCTTGGTTCAAAGCTAGCCCTGGGCAAATAGTTTCTAAGACCCTATCTTGAAAAATCCCATCACAAAAAAAGGACTGGTGGAGTGCCTCAAGGTGTAGACCCTGAGTTCACACCCCAGTATCTCCAAAAAAAAAACCACGAAACAGTATTTTATTATAACTTTTTTTTTGTGTGTGGGACTGAGGTTTGGGGTTTGAACTCAGGGCTTCATGCTTGCAGGTGCAGATGCTCTGCCACATAAGTCATACCCCCCCTCAGTCTATAATAACTTTTTTATTTGTAAAATGAAGGGGACACTCAGGTTTTTTGCTATTTTTTTTTTATTGTTGTTTTTGGTTTTTTTGTGATACTGAGGATGGAACCCAGGTTCTTGCCCATGCTAAGCAAGCACTTTACCAGAGTCACACTTTTCAGCTACCATTTTTTCCCAATGTGTCTTTTTGTTTTGGTTTGCAGTACTAAGGTTTGAACTCAGGACTTTGCACTTGAGCCACACTCCCCAGCCCCCAATGTTTTCTTAATACAAATTATATATTATAAAGTTTGACAAAAATATTCTCAGTTGATGGGTCTATGCATAAAATAGTGACTCTTAAAATTGGAGGCATCTGCCCTAGGGGGAGTAAGAAAGAGGAAAAGTATTGTATTTGTTGTTTTTTTTAAGAAAGTAAGGGTTTTAAGTGATTATTCTCCTTTGTTTGGCCCCAGAGTTGTAAGCACCTATAGAAAGCATCCCACTAAAATACCTGTGGTTCTGCCCCTCCTAAATTTCACAAATGGTACAAACCAAGCCTCTGGGCAGGGAGGTAACCTCATTCAAGGTCACATTGCAAATTACTTCAAAGCTGAAATTGGGGCCTACCTCTCTCTCAATCTTTTTCAGACAGTGCTCTGTCTTTTCCAACCCAAGCTGCCTACTTCTAAGCCCCTGGAAGAGTTTACTACAATCCTCTGACATTCTAGCACAGTCTTGGTACCAGAAGGCACATAAAGAATGAAGGACAAGCCAGGTGTGGTAGCATATGGCTGTAATCCAAGTCAGTATTTGAGAGGCTGAGACAGGAGGATCTCAAATTTGAGGCCAGGCTGGGCTACATAGTGAGTCCCTGTATCAAAAAAAAAGGGGGGTGGGTGGGCTGGAGGTGTGCTCAAGTAATACAGTGGTTACCTAACAAGTGCAACACCCTGAGTTCAAACCTTAATACAGTGGAGTAGGGTGGGGAAGCCCCATCAGGAACAATTAAACCACACAGTCTTGTGTCATCACAAGCCAGAGAACAAGCAGAGTCTCAGCAGGACTGAAGTGTAAGGTTCTTTGTTGGCCCCAGACATTGTTCCTCCCTAGGCACCTCTTAAGACTGACTATCTCTCTTTCTCCCACTCCAGCCTCCCCTTCTGTGATTCTCCCCTCTTTTTTCCTGTCTCTTCAGTCATCCCCAAAGCCAAAGACTGGTGACTACCGGGACACTAGAGCTGGGCTGGAGGCAAGGAGCCAGGGTGCCAGGTTTACCTGCCCGAACAAAGTAGCAATGCAGAGAATGCACGTGAACATCTTCACTCACAGACTTGGCTGCAGCTACCAGAGCTTGGCCCACGATCTGACCTCCAAAGAGCCGCTGGGTGGTAGGTACCCAGTAATGCCTTCCTCTGTGGGAAGAGGAAAAGGGGGAAAGACTTGAGGACACTCCGAGTTCTATGTGCCTAATAAGCCTCTAGTGCAGGATCCCTTAACCTTTTAGGGTTGGGAATACTTTCGAGAATCTGGTGAAAACCTTGGGTTCTTTCCCATACCTCTGCATAAAGAGGTATGCAGAGTACATGACTCTGCATAAAATTTCTCAGGTTTTGTGGTCACCTACATCCTTCTATGAACTTTATTAAAGGACAATAATGTGACTCCCTGATTTTATACAAAGAGAACAGGAATCAGAGATGGAAAGTGATTGAGCAAATTCAACAGCTTAAACATTAGCAATCCTGGACAGTTTCTGGGCTTTTTGACCTCAAGTCCAATGTTTCCTCTACTCCCCAAACCAGGGTTAGATAGAAGCTTCTTAAGACCTTGAATGGACCAAGGATGAACCCAAGAGCTAAGCTGGGAGTAGACTGTGTTAAGGCCTGCCCTGACAACCATTACAGCCCATTTCTTCCAAGTGTTAGCTTCAGAGCTAGAAGGGTTCTCTGACATCAAGTCTAACTTCCTAAGTTGTGAAATTTCTATACGGATGAGGAAAATGTCCTGCCCCAGAGGTGAAAAGTCCTGACTGGACCCCAGAGGTGAAAAGGCCTGACTGGACCCCTGTGGTGAAAAAGCCTACCCAGTGCAAGGAGCCTGAGTTCTGAGGAGGCTAAAAACATTCCACTACCCAGCTTAAGCTTCTCAGTGCATTGAAAATACCATCCTCCCAAGTTATTTCTAATTCCCTAAGAGGAAGGAAGGGAGATCAAAGTAATATAGCTTCCAATAAAACCAGTTATGAAGGTCAACTATTAACAACCCCCGCTGCATTCACCAATGTCAGTGATGCTGAGAAGGAAACAGGCCTCGGAATAAGTAATCAGCTACCAGATCCCATAAAATGGTGCTGGGGATGGGGTATGGGAGAGAAAAAAATAGTGACTTTGCAAGCAGGTGTGTATAAGTTTTAAACCAGGTCAGCTGTGTGCTCTTGGGTAACTCACTGCCCTCTCTGGGTTGGCTCTACCAGGGGAGGCTAAGATAGGCTGCCGAACAGGGTATCTCAGGTCACCACTTTATTTTCCCAGATCGCCAGGATCTCTCCGGGAACAGCAAGGACGGCTGTCAGGGGCAATTTCTCTCCTAATTGCATTAAACCTTGCACCCCGCATAGAGCCCACCCTAGTCCCAGAGCTGGGAGTCACGGGGCGGCGGCAGTCAAGCTCGGGAGTCTGTCCTAAAATAGGGGTGCGGAACAGGTGCAGCTGGCTACCTGAAGAGATCCTGGTCCAGCAGCTCGAGGTTGAGCACACTGGTGACCAGGACGCTACGAAGATCCCCGGAGAGATCGCCGCGATCTTCGCCGCTCTGTTGATCCTCTGGGGACTTCGGGGATGACATGTTGATCTCTCGCTGCCTGCCCGGAACACTGCGCTTGACTAGACACGCGGAGACATACACAAGAGTCCGGCACTTCCGGCAGATTGTGTTAATAACCGGAAGTCCCTTTCGGGCCCCTGGGAGTCGGATGCAGCTAATGATTGGTTCGAGTTCATGTCAATTGCCGAGTGGGCATGGCTCTCTTTTTCTGGCGATTGGAGAAAATGAGTGCCGATCTAGGAATTCCGTGTTTGATTGGATATTTCAGTAAGGGGGCGGTGCTCTGTCCTAGATAACAAGGGCTGTCATTTCCCTTCTGTCATATAGCGAAGACTCCCCCAAACCTTTTATAACCCTGTGCGCCTTCAGCTCTTCATGAGCTCCATAATAGGCCACCCAGTTGGGGCCGCTCCTTAAGACGTTCTAAGCCCATGCCAGCCTGTAAATACTCAGAGTGATCCCTGGTCCCTGGCGTGATCTCGGCTCCAGCTGGGGCCAGTCCCTGGCGTGGGCCGTGGGGGCGGCCATGGAGCTGGGCAGCTGCTTCAAGACCTACGAGGACTTCAAAGAGTGCTTCAGCGCCTACAAAAAAGAGAACAGGTGCTCCTTCATTCTCAGGGACTGCGTCTCCGTCCGCTTCCACAACCTCAACCACGGCACCTCCATCCGTGAGGACATCCTGTAAGGGCGGGGCAGGGCGGGGCAGGAGGGTGGGGAGGAGGGCGGCCTGGAGGAGGAATGCCTGGGGCTCTGCTCTTGTCTGCATGGCCATTCATGCAACCGGCACTCATACAACACCTGCTGTATGCCTCCACAGGTGTGGCTTTTTAGCCAAGCACTTCACTTTCACCCTTTCCTTAAATTCACAAGCTTTTCTGGAATTTTTAGTAACTGCAGTCCCCCTCCCCCGCCCCTTTATGAGCACCTGCAGTACCCCAGGCACAAAGCGTGACCTTCACAAATGGATAAAAACGCCTTGGCGATCATTTTCATCACTCTCCTCTTTACAGAGCAGTAACATGATCACTGGTTGGATAGTTTCTTCCTTCATTGATTTTGGGGGTTTTATTGTCTTCTTGTGGTGCCGGGGATGAAACCCACACCCCCCTACATACACACACTCCACCCTGTTTTGCGCTCTACTACTGAGCCATATCCCCAGCTTGTAAATGGTTCTTGAACTCCTGATACTAATAATCGTTTTCAAACATTTTCCAGGCAGCGTTCTCTACTTAATTCGTGCTTTACCCTGCAGGGCTGTTTTCAGAATTATAGATGTAATTTTTTTTCATCGGCATATGATGAAACAGGTTTAGGACTAAATCAAACATGCTGAAAACTCAAATGCCTTCAGGGCTCAAGTGAAACAGCCTAGTTTAAGAAAGCTTAGCTTTTAATTGTACTTTAAGAAAAAGGACAATGGAACAAAGACTAATACTAGAAGGGTGAACTGGGCAAAATGAAAGTTGGCCCTGTCTCATCAATTTAGCTGATGACCCTGTGTGAAAATGAAGGTCTAGTGTTGCCAGAATTTTGTTGTCAGAAATTCAGGCTTTAGTGAATTGGCCCACTTTTTAGAAATTGTAAATCAATTCAAATTTAATACATTACCACATGAGCCAACAATGACAGTCGAAGTATATATGTTTGAGACCTGGATTGAGATTTTTGGTCAAAGCTCCCCAGTTAGGAAACCAGGCTATATTCTGCCACTACTCTGAAGTCAAGTGCTATACTGGTAAAAATGGCATAAAGATGAATAAGAGTCCAAACTATCCCCCAAAGAGTTTAAGCTGGAATATACTTGGACTCAGGTAAGCTAACTAACTAGTACAGGGTCAAAGTAAAAAAATTTTTTTAAATGGGGTTGGTGGAGTGGCTGAAGTGGTAGAGTGCCTGCCTGGCAAACATGAGGCCCTGAATCCAAACCCCAGTACCACCAAAAAAAAATTGTCTGCAGTACAAGTACAGACTTTTATTCATTGTCATTATTCCCTATACAATGCAATATAAAACTGTTTACATTGTATTAGATATTATAAGTAATCTAGAGATGAAAGTATGTGGGAGATTTTATGCAAATACTACATGATTTTATACAAGGGGCTTGAATATCTCTGTATTGTGGTATCCAGAACCATAATTATGTGATAAGTGCTTTAGAAAGAGATGTACAAAGAAAGAAGCAACAACTGCTGAGGAGGGTAAGGCTTCACTCTGGAATTAGTGGTTTCTCTGGGCTCTGAATGAATGCAGAGAGCTAACATGGGAGATCAGTAGTTGCACGGAGAGGTTTGGCTGGATGGAGCTCTGCAAAAGACCTGGAGAGCAGACTCAGGTATGTGCAAGATAGTGACATGTTAGAGAAACTGTTGTCTACCATAGTTAGCAGGAGATGAAGGGACTGCAATCTGTCTGAAGGGTCTTTGTCTAAAACACCATTGTGAGGTGTTTGGGCTTTATCCTATAGGGTAGCACCTTCCTAAGCAATGCAAGGAGTACAGAAAATTCAATTGTCCCTAAACACTCTCAGGTAGACCATCTCAATGTCTAGCATGGGCTTGACCACAGCAGGGATCTCATAATTGTTGAAGAAATGATGCCAGGCACCCGTGGCTCACGCCTGTAATCCTAGCAACTCAGGAAGCAGAGATCAAGAAGATTGAGGTTCAGCAACACAAAACAGGGCTGGTAGAGTGAGTGGCTCAAGTAGAAGAGGCCTGCTCCAGGCCCTGAGTTTAAACCCCAGTACTGCCCCCCCAAAAAAGAGAGAGAGAGAGAAAGAGAGAGGGAGAGAGCAGTAAGGAGATCTGAGCTACAAGGAAGGATGTCTTGTTGTTATTGTTTGTTTTGGTTTTGTTTCAGGCAGTATCACTCTGTAGCCTAGGCTGGCCCAGAACTGGTTATCCTCCTGCTTCAGCCTCCTAAGTGCTGGAATTACAGGCATGTACCATCTTGTTTGGTTGGTTGGTTGTTTGGGCAACAGTAGACTTTGAACTCAGGGCCTCTCTTACTCTGTTTATTTGTTTTTGAGACTGAGTCTTGCTCTGTGGCCCAGGCTGTTCTAAAACTTTCAATCCTCCTCACTCAGCCAGGGATTACAAGTGTGTACCTCCATACCCGGCTCTAATTCGAAACTTTTTTTTGCGGTACTGGGGTTTGAACTGAGAGCCTCATGCTTGCTAGTCAGGTCCTCTACCACTTGAGCCACTCCAGCCCTTGATATTTTTTAAAAATTAAATGTTTATATTAACTGCCCAAAAAAACAAACTCACAAATTTTTTTTCAAACAGTACCAAAGGGTCTAAATGTCAGTGTAATCTAAATGTCATGCATAATCTAGCAGCATGCTCCTGAGGGCCACTGAGCCTGAACAGATATATCTGTTATATGCATATGCATCACTTTTTGTGGGGTCAATTTGGGAACTGAACCCAGGGACTTGTTCCTGAGCACTATTACTAAGTTACACCTCTAGCCCTTGTTTTTCTGTCAAGATACTACTTATACACATCCTTCTATACCTGATTTTTCTTATTTGTCAATATATCCTGGAGCTTATTCCTCACACTTGTCCCATTGTACAAGCAACTTAGCTGATTTTTCTTGTTGATTTCACTGATTTTAGTAATTGTTTCTTTTTCTTCTGCAGTACTGGGGTTTGAACTCAGGGCCTATGCCTTGAGCCACTCCACCAGCCCTTTTTTGTGATGGGTTTTTCCAAGATAGGGTCTCCTGAACTATCTGCCTAGGCTGACTTTGAACTGCAATCCTCCTGATCTCTGCCTCCTAAGTAATTAGGATTACAGGCGTGAGCCACTGGTGCCTGGCTAGCAGTGTCTCTTAAAATCCTACTCTATGCTGGTGTCTGGAGGTAGTTGCTGGAAAAGATAATTTGGGTCCCTGCTCTTGTGGAGATTTTCTCTCTAGTCATGGACAGAGATGAACATTAAATGTAATCACAGAAATGATTGTTGCCTTAAGATCGAAGGAAGTAAGGGCACCAAATGAAAAGTCTAGGGTGCTGAGTGGTGGAATGATGGGGAAAATTAATCTGGCTGGTGGGGATGGGTTGGAGGGGTGGAGGTGCTGGTTGATGCTTTGATCTTGATCAGAAAAACATAGTTTACAAAGCACATTCATCTTCATTATCTGAGTAGGTCCTCTGAATTACCTTATCAGAGGCAAGTTTTGCTATTCTCAAAATGAGTTAATGTATGTAAAATGCTTGCAACAGGGCCTATTACACAGAAAATCATCTTTAAATAACATTATTGTTTTGTAGATTGGGAGAGCCAGGAGAAGTCAAATGTTAAGAGACTGGCTAACATAGTTTCCACCTCTCTGCTCTACTATTTATTTAGTTATTTTTGAGGCACGGTCTCTGTGAAGCTCAGGCTGGCCTTGAACCCTCCATCGTCCTGCCTTCACCTCTCAGTCTGCTCTGTTCTTTGAAGACTGATTCTGAGTTGTACATGTTTGAGAAAAATGGAGAAAGAAAAGAGAGATAGTCAGAAGAGAACAGGAGCAGGAACTGAATGAGTCAAGAGGCAGAGAGGAAAACAATAAGCAAACCTGTGCAAAAGCATCCTCATCCCCAAAACTATCTGGATGGCAGCCAGGGAAGTCTGAGTTTAGTATAGTGAAAGCCAAAAGGATTTGAGGAGGCAAGTCAGAGCAGGGAAAAAGGTAAGGTTTGAAGAAAGTGTAAGAAAGTGCTTGGGTATTAAATCGAATGTCACTTTTATTGCCAGAGCTCTTAACTGTGGTTCCTAACCACTGAGCTCTAGTAGCTTTCTAATGTCACTTGCTCATTTATTTCTTCAACAGATTTGTACTAAGAGGCTGTTTACCGTTGGCTAAGCATTGCACTGGTACAAAGATGAGTAAATTGTGGGCCCTGACCCTGAAGATAATATGGACTGAGCTAGCTCAGAATTCATGAGCAGCACTGACCTTTCACAGACAAGTTGGCTGCTGGTTGGAATGTTCTAAAGGATATTCTTGGATCTATAGTGCACACTGGTGCCTGTGAGTTCCCTGTGCATGTTAGGCTGTTTTGAGGTGTTGGGGGATGAGACAGGGTCTAATTAATGTGTAGCCCAGGCTGATCTTGAACTTAGGATCCTCCTACCTCTGCCTCTCTAGTGCTGGGATTACTAACATAAAACCTGTATATATTGGGCTGTGTGTGTGTATGTGTGTTACTAGGGTTTGAACTCAGGGTCTCATGTTTGCTAGACAGGCACTCTACTACTTGAGACACGCCCCCCAGTCCACTATTGGGCTTTTTGAGTGATACATGAATGTTTTAGGTATGTATGGTTTTTTTGTTTTGTTTGTTTTTGTTATTGTTGTTGTTTCTTTTTAGTAGGACTGGGGTTTGAACTCAGAGCTTCATGCTTGTAAGCAGGTGCTCTATGGCTTGAGCCACACCTGCAGTTCATTTTGCTCTGGTTATTTTGGAGATGGGGGGGTCTTGTGAACTGTTTGCCTGGGCTTGAACCTCGATCCTGCCAATCCCAGTCTCCCAAGTAGCTAGAACTACAGGCATGAGCCACTGGCAACCAGGTGATAGAAATGCTTTTAGAAGATAATTTAGCAGGTATTTCCACAACCAAGTGGTCAGGCGAGATGATTTTACTAGTAAGTATTTAATGTTAATATGTTGGTTAAAAGTT